TATATATATATATATATCCAAACATGACAATACATATCCTTCTTTCTTTTGTAAAATTAATGTCAAGTACAATAAAAATAATAATAAGAAAACATAAAAAATAATTATAAGAATAATTTTCATATTTGTTTCTTTTAGAAAAAAATCAAGTTTGGAGAAATGTAAAAAAATTACTTATATACAATTATATGTAATTTTTAAGAAAAATAACTTACTTTAAATCAAACGTTTTTAAACTGTAATAAAAAAAAGATTTGCTCATTCATATGACCGATTGATTCTCAGATTCAATTTTTCATTTTCTGGTTAATTAGTAGTTAGGCTTAATTCTTGATGTTTTATACAATTGGCTTCATGTATGAAACAGCGACTTAAACTTAACCACAAGTTAATCAGATAATGAAAAATTGGGCCTCACTGACGTTAATCTATCTAGACTTTTTATTTGCAACTGTTTACATAGTACTCACTTGTGATTGTGTCATTACAAATGGTGATGCACACAGTATCAGGTATAACAAAACTGTGCAAGACTTCATCTTGAAGATCATTCTTTGATCGTGTTAATCGTCGTTTAACTCAACTTATAATCAATTGCCTTACTTTACCAAGAAATCGACCTTATATATAAAATCTTCTATAGATATGATGACTATAACGAAACGTTATGTTATCATACAGATGCGTTTTTTCTATTACGTTTCTTGTATGTATTTTCGTTATCTTTAGTTCATGCAAAAGGGTAAAGGTGACGTGAATCGACATTCCTCAAGTACATCAATGACTGCAATGTCTAAGAAAAATGCACTTGCTGTTGCAATAAAATTCTGTTTGCTGCTTTACATTTCTAAAAACGCTAGCGTATTTATTATGTGCAATTATTTTAAGCAATTAATAATATAATAAAATATAAATCGTAAAACCTTGCACCCAATAAAAAATATTAAGAAAAAGTACGAATAATATATATTAGATAAATTAATATATTAAAGAAATAAAAAATTAAAAATATATAGAGATTAACGTAATGTAAAATACATACAAATTAATAAGATGACATATGTTAGTCTTTATTCCTAATTTTTTATTTCGCTAATATTTAATATTTTTTCTTAACATTTCTTTCATTGTGCGCAAAGCCTAAACTTTCCACATAATAATTGAGATACAAAGAAAATTAGTTTAGAAAACTTTTTAGAAAAATTCTAGTTATTTCACATATTTTCTTTCAGTTTAGTAATTTTCGTCTTTCTATCAAACAATTTTATGACTTCTATTGGTGCGTTTGGAGAGACACTATTCTCGCTACTTCTGTTATTCTATCTTCATTATTAACGAAAAATAAGGATAAACAAAAAAAAAACGCATCTTATATAGGTAAAAACCAGAAAATATGTAAAATACGTAATACCTATGAAGAATAGAAATCAGGAGACTGAATTAAGCCCGAAACACGATAGGCACAGGCAATAGGAACAGAGAACAGGGAATAACGAGTCGTCTAATCAGAGCTCTGTGGTTTAAGTACGATATTATATCCCAGAACTCTGATTAAACGGCTTGTTCCCTTCCTATTGCCTGTGCCTATCGTGTTTCCAGCTTTATTCTTCATGTATTTGATGTAAGTATATACAATTTTGTTGCAAATTGATTATTGCGGTCTTTGATATGCTAATAGTAACGTCCTCGTTACATTTTGTTGAAATTGATTAAAAATTTTTATTATGGTAGAAATACTTAACCAAATTTATATATATATAATATTTTTTTTATACATTGTGAAAAAAATATGTAAAAAATATTTAAAAAATTTATTAATATCATACACAAAAATTTGTAATTGTAAATTTTATTAAAAATATCATTGTTTTTTTTTATTACCATTTACGCAATATTTTATTTTATATACAAACAATTATATTATTTTAATTATACATTTTATATTTTATACATATTAAAATGTCAAAATTTCGGTAGCATGTTATAGCGTATAGGGAATCGATAAACTATAAAGAAAAAAAGAAAAACGTAAACACAGTTTTCACCAGAAAACTATGAATATTATTATTTTCAGGTATGATTTCAGCAACAATAATATTTCAGAAGCAATGCAAGAGGCGATGAAGCAACTACATTTGTTTTTTAGCAATTTTCTCCAAAACGGAACAAAAATGAGTTTAAAGGATTTTTTTTCTTAATTTGTCGATCTCCTACACATCCCCAAAGTTTTGACATTTAAATTCAGGACACCTGTATACTATTTTAATTTTTATATATTTTATTTGAGAGGGCTTCTTTTGCTTATACAACTGATTGCCTACAGCATCATTTACAGATCGATTACCTACATGTATTAATTATTGCTTACAGCTCGATTGCCTACATGTACTTTTGCATACAAATTTGTGTTTTTAATACAGAGAATTTGTTTTGAAAAACAAATAGTGCTTATAGGAAATCAATCTGTAAACAATAATGTATATATACAATAAATATTGTACCTTTGTTTCTTAATTTTATATTTGTACGTAAAAGTGCTTGTAGGCAATCGAGCTGTAGGCAATAATACATATAAGCAAAAGTAACCCCGATTCTGAAATTTTTATTTGTGTGCAAAAATGCATGTAGACAATCGATCAAATAAGATATAAGCAAATGGTGTTGTAGAGAAATTTATAGACAAATACGGTCCTCTCACTTTATTTAATATTTTCTTAATAGGAAAGAATATAATAAGATTGGAAACAAGACCGTTTATGTTAAATACTTACGAAAACAATCAAATTAAAGTGAATGGAGTAGAGCAAAATGGTGAAAAAATGTATTTTTAGTCGAAAATCACCATTTAAGTTATGATCTGAAAATGCTCATAATTCATAACACTTGTGAGCGTTTGTTAAACATATGATAAACAACAAGGATGAAATGATTCATAAGCGTTGTAAATCTGAATCGAATCGCGGCGTTATACGTAGCTAATTTCAAGAAAAATGTGCTATCATAATTTTCTACTTATATACTATCAACTTTACAGAAAAACAGCGAAAGACAAAAATTGTTTATTTTCTTCTTATAGAGTTCTAAGAATTTTTTCAGAATTTTTTAATACCGTATTTC